GCTCTTAAGGGAAAGGCCCAATCTGTGTTCTGCTGTGAAGCCTAGCACTGATCCCATTCAGCTGGTAGACAGTGTCAAAGTCAGACAGGGCTTATTGTGACCAGCCTAAAGTTCAAATATCAGTAGTAAAATATCTCAATGCCTTGAGTGGGAAAGAGAAGTGTTTCCTGAAAGACAGACTGTGCATATTTCAGAAAACATTTAGGGCAGTTTTGAACCTCCGAAGTGTTGTGACACAAACTGATGTTCTGAAGCAGATTCTTTCTGTCAGTTTGGGTGAGTGACAAAATTGTGCATTTTAAGGGATGATTCAGATCATAGAAGGGATGCTGCAACTTTTACTTTTCAGTGGTCTACTCTATGATAGACTTACAGTTCCAAGGTCAATAATGAAACAATCTCCTCTGTTGAAGCTGCTCCAAGCCAGGGGGACTTCGGTGGCTCTGACAACTCTCCGGCCCTTGATATGCAGAAGCCTCTGAGCACTCAGATCATTAGTAACAACATGATTAAATCCAGATGCAACACCACCTGCCTGAATAAAAAGAGCAGCAAGTTTTATTTCAGTTTGATTTTTGCAAATATACTTTTTTTTTTCAGCTAAGCAGGGGAGAAAAATAGTTTATGCAGTGAGAGGTGAGCCAAAAAAAAATATACTGTTTAATAGTGCCAACCACAGACCAGACAGACAGACACAGGGAACACTGCTGCTGTTGAACTCCCAGTTTGTGAGCCTTTATGTGAGGGAGCAGATGTCATCCCTGCTTCAAAGGGTTTCAGATGAGTGGGACAAGGGAAAGCACAGAATTTATCACACTTTCCTGCATCATCCAGACAATAAAGTAATGCTGAACCACACTGTAAGGACAAAAATCAGTAGATTATCAAATGAGGACTGAGGGAAAGCAGAGGAATATGCTGCTACTGTACAAGTTTCCACAACTCCCCTAAATTCAGAGGTCTGAGTGCTTTTAGTGCCTGGTTATGTGTCAAAGAAGGAATCCTTCTACAGCAGCTCTGTGATTTTCTGAAAAGAGTATTTGCAACTTAGGAGGCAACCTAGCAAAGAGCACCAGAAGTGGAGGAAGTGAGACCAAACTATTAATTTACAATCTGTAAGTGTAAATTTAAGACAAACTTCTTCCTGTAAACTGGCTGGGCTGTCTGCCTCTGTGAGGCAGCATTCTCTACTCCTCCAGGAGACTTAAATTTTAGGTTGGAATACAAAGAGTCTCTTGAAATTATAAAGGAAAAAAATAAGTAAAGAGTGGCCATGTCACTATCAAGCTCCTACATAAACAGAGTTAAAAGCTTCAAATTGGTTGTGTAGACTGTGATGAGTTACAAACCTCCATAATGGGGAATAAGGCTGACTGAGCAATGGCTCCAAGAGCTCCTACCACAAGGAGATTCTCAGGAGATACATTACTTAAAAAACAACAGATGTCTTAAAGAGTTTCCTTGTAAAGATTCTGCTTTCAGAAGCAACACAACAAGGAGGCTGACACTACAGCTTTTAGAAGAAAATGTTCATGAAAATTATTTGGGAATTTTTTTTTTTTTTAACTTACCTCAAAGAGAAGAACTACAGTAGGACAGCAAAACCACCATTTTTAGACTAAAGTAAGGTTTTGGTATTTTCCAGTCTGCACTTTTTTAACCACTTAAGCATACTGGGTTCTGCAGTTGAACAAAATGATTCAGTCTACAACACAGAAATGGTTTCTGTGAAGTTTACTGCCTCCCAGAGTGTCCCTACTGTGCGGGACCGTAGACACACAATTAGGAAACCTCAGGATAGCTTGATGTGGGGGGAACATATCACTAGGACAGGTTTCCAGTTATTGGAAGAGACACTGGTAAACAAGCTGCTGCTTTCTGTGTAAGTACTGGGACTCGATAGTCTAGGATAGGTGGTTCAGATCTAAAACAACTAAATACTAAGAAATAATTTTTAGAATTTCAGTAAGAGATACAAAGCAAAAGATTTTACTTAAGGGACAATATTACATATATTTTTAGAATGTATTTTGACAGCCGACTCATTACCTTGTATTTAATTCCTCCTTTGAAGTAGCCCACAAACTCAGTGGACTCATATCCTTGAATTTCTCTACTCTGCACAGGCTTTCCTCCTAAGTAGTCATCCATTTGAACAGCAAAGATAGCTGCAGCTGTGCTTTCATCCTGGGTACATTCTTTCCCTGAAATAAGATGAAATATTATGTCTATAAAGCACTAATAAAACTTTGAATTCTGTTGGAGAAATTGTTTCTATGACAATCAGGCACTGCCTTCAGCAGGTTGTACAGCCCATGTGTGTGTTGCAAAGCATGGCAACATAACCTTGTTCACCAACAGAAGCATGACCATCCAGGTAACTTAACTATTTCTGGAACTGACATTCATAAGAAAAAAAAAAAAAGTAAAAAAAAAAAAAAGGCAGGTTTGTATTTCTTCAGCCACTTTGAAAAACAAAGCATTTAAATTGAGTTTAGCATGACAAGTAACAAACACTAATTATTTTTGGATTTTGGGTTGATGTGCAAAGACCAAGGAAGGTCACGTCGAAGAACTGATCAGATGATAAACCATGTATTTATGCTAAGAGCAACTTGCCAAGCCATAAAGTTAAAATAACTCAAGAGGAGTCCTACTGACACTATAATGCAAGCAAAGGGTATTTTGCTTAGGTATCTTTTATTAGATTGCCCAATACAGCTGGTAGAAAAGCAGCTTTGAGGCTCAGATATTTGCTTCATGACATCACACTGGTTTGTACCTTTCAGAGATTAGCCTCTTCTTAGGATTGTGGCAAAATGGCCTCCTCACACTGCAAAGTAGGCTGTATATTAAACCAAATTTTCAGCATGGACCCATACATTTTTGATGAACACTGCTAGCAGTTTGGATTGGTTCAAGAAGAGTGCAAAGAGGATCAAGTCTTCAAAGCTCCTCAAGAGCTTTTGAAGAATAAGGAAAGGTAAGGTTTTCCATTTAGTTTTTATTTTTGCTTTCTAAATAAGAGGGTGATGTTGGTAAGAGTTCAAGGGCAGCTTCTCACGTACATTGACCATTTCCTTGCTTATGGTGACTGAGTGGAAAAATACCATAGAGCTCCTGACAGAGCTACTCTTGCAAGCTATGAGAGAAGGGGAAGTGTGTGGTGAGGTCTTGGTGTCACCCCATGGTGTAATGAGTCATGGTATCACAAGAAGCCTGTTGATAAGGTATTTGGAAAGAATAAATCATGGAAGAACATGGGGACAGGGGTGCCTAAGGGGCACTGACCTAGATCCTCTCTTTGGAAGAATGAGTGCCCTATTCACAGCCCAACAGTGCATATGCCACAATTCCCCTATGCCCACCACCAACTGTGCTTCTCCCAGGAGCAGTGTTAACACTGCCACCACAACTGCTTTTGAGGTGACACAGGGGCAATGAAAGCCTCCAGAAAGTAGCTAGGATGAAACAGGGAAGGGATCCAAAGAATAATGGAGGCATAGGGAAAAGAACAGCATGAGGTCTGCCCAAAAAAGCTAGAAGTTACTAAAGCGGAATGTAAAACAAGAACCTCTGAAAAAGAAAAATCCCCATCACTCAGTAACAGAAGAACTTGCTATGTGGCAATATGCCTTCTCAGACCTGGAAACCACCTTAAAATTGATGCAAAGTTTTGTGTTTTTTGTTGTTTGGGGTTGTGGCTCTTTTTTGGGGGGGGGGGATAGTTTTTGTGTGTTGTGGGGGCAGGGTTTTTGTTGGTGGTATGGAATTTGTTGAGGGGTTAGGGTTTGTTTTAGGTTTGTTTGGTTTTGGTTTTGTTTGTTTGTTTTTTTAAGGCTTATTCCTGTCCATTAGGACTACATCCTTCATATTTATTTTTTGCAACTACACATCAGGGTTCAGGGTCAAAAAAGCCTGGTTTTGGAACAGTGTTGGAGATAAGAACCACTACCTTACAGCTACTATGCAGAATATTCATTGAAACCTGTTAAAAAAAAAAAGAAAACACCAAAAAACAGGTGAGCATCAACCCAAGTGTAGGCTATTCAAGCTTGTATAAAACAGATTTACCTTATAGTACAAGGCACAAACAGCTGTAAATAAGCTTGAGTATATAGGAAGAACATTTTTTACCAGACTAGATCCTGGTTCATGTGGATAGTTATAACCACTTAATCTCTGGGGCTAAGGGTTAAAAAAAATAAAACCACCATGAATTATTTCGTTAAAGATACTAAGTGGGGTATAGCCAGCCTGACTCCTGCAAGTAGCATCATACTGGCACAGTACATGCTGATTCCACCAGTCACAGTTTCAAGTCAAGACAGCACCCTTCAGATTAGTAGTTTAGCTGCAAAGACATCCCTCAAGTGCCAATGCAGACAACAGAGCCAGGATCTCTGAAGTTAAAAATGCATACAGCTATGATGACACTGATGCACTCTGCCTGATTGCTTGGCCATCACTGAAGCCCTGAGCCAACTTGTTCAGAAATTATCCAACCTGGACAGCACTTCACTGGATGGGAGGTATGTGGTAACACAGTGGTTTTGTCTAGGAAGCTTAGGGCAATAAAACAATTGTTTGACCAGTTTAAACCCTAGGACACAAGTCACAGCACAAGGCTGTCAGCACTTCAAGGTCACAGATCATCCTCCTATGGTCTAGACCCCCTTCTAACCCCTTGAGTCTGCCCAAGCAGGATATAGGAGGAATTTTGTCAGTATAATATGAAAATTCAATGCTCTGCTTTTATTCTGAGTTTGGGGTCTTTTTTTTGGTGAAGTCAGAATCTGTTCAGACTCAAAGCCTCCATATGACGCCCACACAACACCAACATGCCACAGATGACAGGGAAAAGTAGGACCGTGTCACCAAATGGCAAAGCCCTTTTAACTACCTAAGCCCGAAGTCTGTAAGGTTTCCACTAATCTAATTTTACAAGATTTCATTCCATCCCCAAGTCTGACTGATGACTACTGTAAGTGTTCAGAGACAGCTTATGGGAAGTCTTCAGGAGACCCTACTGAGGTCTTCCTGGCCCATGGGTTATACAGTCTTTGCTTATAAGGGAAAAGTTTGGTGTATTTAACAGCAGTGAGAATCAGTCAGCAAAAATACCAAAATGATTCAAACTCTTGCCTAGAGTCTAGGTCTGCCTGCCCTTCCACATACACCCCATATGAAGTCCTGGTCTCCTGTTGCTATTAAGTTTGCAGCAGTGTTTGAACATCTCTGCCCCACTACTGGAGTACCCTGCAAGCAGTAAAGTTTTTCCCCAGCAGGTAGCCACAGTGCTGCCAACCTGCCAGCTCCACAAGAACAAAGTGCGCCCAGACTACCTGAAGTCATGTACAATATCTGGATATCACCACATCAGCATGAGATGTGCGTCAGCAACTACAACTAAAAATCTTTAGGCAACAGTAGGTTTCAATTGGTGCAAGTGTCAGTCACTGTTTTGACTTGACTTCGAGTTGCAGAATCCTTGCATCTTTCCCTGGGAAGTGTCTACTTGACATTAGCTACTACATAAATGGTTCTAACTTGATTAACAAATAGCCAAACCCTGCTTTAATAAACCATGATGTTAACATAAGAACATCTGCTAGAAATTCATTTACACTGCCATCCATGATTATATTCAGAGACAGACACTGTCCCACATGCCAGCTGGGTAAGTCCTAACACAAGCAAAACTAAACAAGCTTCAAACATTTATGCAGAAGCAACCTCAACTTTATCTGCTATTCTTTTTCAATGCATCCAAAAGTACAATGAGAACCACAGTAACTCAAACATATTAGTGTTAATACACAAAGATCTGTTTCTGTGTGCATTCATAGAGATGATTGCCTACAAACACAAACCTGACAGTGAAACAGGAAGAGAATAATAGATTTCAGGCAGCTACAGAGCAACCACTGCAGCTGGCTGAGCCAGTGACCAGACAAGGAAGTCTCAAGAAGATGAGGAAGTCACCTAAAATGCATCCTCACATCAGATTTCTACTTTGCTGTAAACACTGTGGTAGTCACAGTGGAAGGCAAAAGACACCAGCCCAATTCCAGCATTCCCAGTTGCTTCAGGAGGGGCTTTATCATATTGTCAGACTGATACTGAAAAGGTTTTATAGAAAACCTGTTGACTTTGCCTCAAACCTCTGTATCATCAGAAAACAAAATTAGTCTAGCTGAAAAAGGCAACATCTGGATGCAAAGCAGTGCAACAATACCACACGGAGATGAAACTTTCATCCTGGTGGAAAGAAAAGCAAGAAAACTCATCTGAAAGAAGTTTTCACTTACGAAACTTGGTTGGATGCAGCCAAGACCTGACTAACCCTTCCGCACCTTTCCAAACTAACACCACCAAGTACGCAAACACCCACCTCTCTACCCCACCCCACTCTCACCCCCAGAGCCCCGCAGCGGTGAAGCTCAGCACCGCCCAGCCCCTCAGCGGCAGCCCTGCTTCAGTTACAGAAGTGCCTCAACCCGGGAGCTGCTCCCACGAAACACTCCGGTGAAGGAAAAGGGGGGAAGAGGGGGCGGGAATTCCGCTGCCGGAGCCCGG